ATAAATCTTTTCAGCTTTTTCTTTTGTTTTTCTAAGATTATCCTATGAAATATCATCTGAAAATTATTATTATAATTCTTAATTAACTTTTTGTTATGCTATATATTTTACATAAAATTTTTTGTAATATCTAATTTTTTCTAATATAGCTTTATTAAATAAAAAATAACATTTAATTATATCCTGTTGCACTAAGTGTGACTTGTGATATAGAATATCATAATTTCCCTAATGATAAAAATAAACGTTTTTTCTTCAGGATATTTTTAGACAGTTTTTTTCACAATAATAAACTTTTTCATAAACTTTAAATTATTTTGTTTATTATAGATATATAAATTTACATTATTGCCATTTTATTTATTCTAATACTTTAACAATAACTCTACTTTAACATTATTGACAATTTTGAATATTAGAATTTTCAATATTAATTTGCAAAATTTTTGACGAAAAATTTGTAATATTTAAATCTTCTTTTATTTCAAATGAATGTTGTTTGTTGTTGAAATAATTGAGAAGCAGTAATAAAATCTAAAAATATGTAATTTTTAGTTTAGAAGTAAAAAAATAAATACAGCATATTATGGTATCTTGATTTTCAAATGTATTTTCCAATAAAGTATTTCGTTTTTTTTTTAGAAAATTTTTTAGAAGAAATTGGCTGCTTTTCTATAAGCATTAAAAAGATTCATCCAAGTTTTTGTACTATCATTTGTATTAGTAACATGAGAGTAAGCTTGAATATTTAATCTGTAGGAATGACAATCGTTCATATGTTATTGATAATCTGTTCTATTTAATTTATTCAATTAATAACGTTTCCTTGATTTATTTATATTTTTTAAAAAAAATGTATGCATAATACCATCTTTATCTTTAAATCTTCAGATATATATTTAAAATTTAAGTAAATAAAAAATAATTTTTTGACGAAAAGAAAAGAAAAGAATAATTATTATATATGTGATCGAAAGTATAAAAAAAAAACTATAAATAAATGATTGAACACATGATAATAATAATGTTAATTAATAATTATCACAAATCACATGTATTTGGGTATAACTTAGTAATTTCATGGGGATCATAATACCGTAGTTTTTTTTCCTACAAAAAAAAAACTGCGATATTCCTAACTCCCTATGAAATTACTTATATTTACTTCTTGATTTGAAACTTTATTTTGACTTTCAGCTTTTGTTATTTTACAATATAAATAATATAAATTAAAAAAACTATTTGTATTATCATTTTTATCTTCTTTCATAATTTTGAAATTAGGAATATCAATTGTTAATTCTTAAATTAAGGTAATATTTTTTGGTTTTTTAATGTTTTTAATTTTTTAAAATATCTAATACTTTCACTTTATTTATATAAATTCTGTTTAAGCACTTTATCATAAATAAGACAATTAGTAGTACTGTAATAGGTGATAATCTTGATGATCATAGATCTACAGATGTGTAGCAAAGTACAGAATGTCAATAATGTTACACATATTAAATATGTTTAACATGTTTGATATATTTAATATGTCTAACATATTAGATATATTTAATATAATTAATATAGTAGATATAGTTAATATAGTTAATATATTAGATATGTCAATATATGTAGTAAAATAGATATAAATATAACCCCTTTTGTAAGCTAAAAAAGATAGACCAACAGCTATATAGAAACCTCCCTTTGTAAAAGATAGCATAATGCTACTCTTCTCTTTGTGTATTTCTTTTTTCTTATCTATTTTTATTCTTATCTTACATTATTAGTTTTCTTTCTATTTTCAATAAAGTATTTCTTATTTCTTACATAAAACTCTTTGTAAATTACTATGATAACTCTTGACTCATGTTTAAAGCTGCTTGGGTTTAATAACTTTAACTTAACCTGATAAACTGTTAGCAAAATAATCTTAACTTAGCGTAAAACTGATTAGCCTTATACATAAATTATAAAAAAGTCAACCCTCTGATATTGTGTCTAATAGTTGCAATCTGAAAAGTTTGCATATTAACAGTACATATATAGTAAGATAATCCTAATACAATATATGATTATAGGTTAAAACTGTATATGATATAGATATATTATTTAAAAAATTTTTTTGTTACATACAGAAAAGTTTATATACTTGTTTTAGATAAAAAAGCATAAATTTTACGATACTTTCCATTTTTTAATATTTAAAATGTTCAAAATAAAATAATAAAAAAGACTTTATATTAAAAATAAAGAATTTATTCTTTTTAAAAATAAAGCTAAATAAAATCATTTCTGGTAATAGTAATTAAAAATAAACAATAATAATTATTGTGATAGATGATAATAAAAATGATGATAAATGGTAATAAAATAATAATAGATAAAAAGAAAATTCTTACTTTTTCTATTGAATCAACTTCTAATCTAATTAATAGATTCTACAAAATAATTTTATATGCTATTGATCATAAAATTTTATATCAGATTATTATTATATAATATATTTCTTTATAATTATTACGTATATAAATTTATTTATTTAATCTGCTAATTTAATTAAAAGAGATATTCAATTTTTTATTTCATAAATAAAAAATTTCTTAATTTTATTACATAATTTAGATTGCATCATGTTTTTATTAATTTATTTATTAGTTTTTCATTATGTGTTTTTACCTAATGTTATTAACCTTTTTTATTTTAATATTATAAAAACAGTTGAGTTTTTTTTTGCTACAAGAAACATTTATTAATGTTATATTTTTTTATAGGTTAAATCCCAAATCTTTAAACTTTCAGATAAAATAAGGTTTAATGAAAAAATTTAAGAAAAATTTATTTTTTAATTAAAAAAATTAATATTAACTTACCTTATAGATCTAATCTAGATTTTTCAAATCTTATAGTTCTTATGAAGAGAGAAATGGATGTGTTAGAATTTTTTATAAAATAAAAAGAAAAAAACTAATACATAATTTTTATAGGTTCTAAAGTTTTTTTAAACTTTGGAATTGAAAGTAAGTACCTATGAAGGGAAGAAAGGGTGAGATTTTTTTTTAAAAAAAAAACCAATTAATATTTACTTTTGTAAATTTCAAAGTTTATCTAAAGATGTGTTAATAGTGAGATTAAAAAATAGGTTTAACTGGTATTTATTTGTAATCAAATTGAAAAAATGAATATAAAAGTTTTCATAAAATTTAATTGCATTATCTATAAAAAAAAATATACTGAAAAATATATAGGACTATAATTTTAAATTATATTATTATTTTCTGTGATCAAATAATTTATATAAAAAGCATTTTGAGAACTTTTATGTTTCAAAATTTTATTAAACTATGAATCACTTTATGGAATTTTTTTTTGCATCTAAATAAATGGAAATAAAAATAGAATTGGAAGTACAAAATAATGGTAGTGTAGTTTATTATATAATAGTAATTTTATAACCCCTATAATTATATATATACTAATTACAAAGCCTATATTTAACTATCTGAATAAATAATATACATTTTATGAATGTATGACTGTATAACATAGATCAACTATTATTTTAAAATATTACTAATTCAAAATAACAATAATTTGTTTTTTATTATTAAATTTATCAATTTAGAATTGAATCTAATTCTTAATAATTTAAAATATTTTATAATTTTCTATTAAGAAATATTCTGTATCTTTTATACTTTTTTCATATTCTCTCTAATATGCAATAAACCTTTTCATAAACATAATCTTTTAAATAAAGAATATTATCAAATAAGAACTACAATGAAAGTTATACTATATATGCAATCATTATATGACTTAGGATTAGATCTTTGAAATTATCCTTATTTTTTAAAAAAAATATAAAACTATCATTTATTTTACCAAAAATTAAGAAAATTAAATTTCTTCTATATTGTAAAATTATATTCTCTAAGAATTTTTTTCATATCTGCTAGTTTAATGAATGTACTGTTAAATATTTATTATCATATAATTCATAAAACTTTTATTAGTGAATCTTCATAATAATAATTCAAATTTATACAAAAAATAAAGTTCCCTCATATGAGCAAATTTGTTTTAATTTTTACTTTATAGAAATAATATTTAAATTAATAATAGTAGTATCAATAATTTCATTGATATTATTACACTTAGAGAGTAAAATATTATTATTTAGATTGCTGTTAAAATTTAAATAAAAATTTAATAATTTATCATTTCATTAAGTTGTATTTCAAAAGCTTTTTATATGAATGAATCTTTTAGATAAATTCATTAGAAGATAAACCAAAATATCCAATTAAGTATAAATAATATTGTAAAGTATTTTTCATCATTTTGAAATTATCATTCATTTAAGTTATAGGATTTGAAATGAATATGAGATTTTTATCAAGCCATCTTATTACATATTTCAAAAATCAACTTCTTTCATCTTTTTTTTGGGAACTGAAGTACATCAGAAAATTTTTTCAGGAGATATATAATGATATATATTTCTTTATCATTATTTATTACATTAATTATAATATGTGATATATATCGATAATAATCACACTCATCAAGTGATATCGATGTGGATAAATAGTGATAAAAGCATCAGATTTTAACCTAAACGATAAATATCAATAAATATTTAAACGATAAGCATTAAATTTGATAAACACTAATAAATATGCTAACAATAAATAACTTAAACGATAAAAAATATAATCAAAATTTAACCAATACGATAAGTGCATTTATTTTATTATATAATAATAAAATACTATATAAAATAATGTAATCCTTTGCAAATTTTATTATAATAACAATAAAATACTGCTATATAAAATAATGTTAAAAGATATTAATAAGAAAAAAAATAAGCAAAAAAATAAGCGATAAAAATAACTGTAAACGAAAGCCTAAATCAAAAAGCAATGAAATCGCAAAATTAAAATGAATGATATTAAACTTAAAACTTAATTCATAAATAGAATGAATTAAAATAATTACCATTATTATTCAAATAATTCATCGTATGATTTAAAACTTGTATTGCCAAATATCATTTGGTCTTCGGGTGGCTCATCATCTTTGTGATCTTTATTGTCTTTCTTTTTGCTATAAATGTTACTGAGCACTTCTTCACGTAAGACTAACGTTAAATTGTCAAGCGTAATTTTACTGTTTTTATCAAGCGCTTTCTAATTTTGACATTGATTAATAAAATTAATTTTTAAATAACAAAATGAATTCGATAATACCTAATTTTTTTTAATCCAATTCTAGCAATTTCTTGGTGACTTCGAGAATGGGACAATCTGGATTTAATAAAATATCACATATAGATGCTGTGTAGATATACATATCATTAAATTCTTTATTGTTAGCATTATCTAGCGATAGAAATATGACAATAGTAATATTTTCTATCATGGTCCTATTAGTAAATAATTTGTTATAATTGTCTTTTACTTTTTTGGATTGCTTCCATTCCAGGATATCTCTTGAGTTTTTACGTCTATTACTCTTCATTTGCAATCTGAATATTCTGAGAATAGCATTTCAGATTGCTGAGACATAACTTCCCTTATGTCTTTCATTTTTCACATGAGTTATCATAAAATAAAATTAAAATTAAATATTTAAAAATTAACAATTAATTGACAATAATTACCAGAGAATAATATTTCCAATAAAGGTATTGATCCATTCTAGTTCACCCAATTCGTGAATATAATTCAGATAGTTCAACTTAGCCATTTTTCTAATGATCGTTGATATTCCTCTAATTTTAGTCACGTGTTATTTGAAAAAATTCAGCGCATACTGCGCTATCACTAGTCGAAATAGTCCAAATTGGCTAAAAATCAGATGGCTGATTTTAAGCCGATTTTGATACTATTTATGGCCGATTTGCCATGTTTTCTGATCAGCACAAACAGGTGCCGATAGACACCGATCGGACATGGTCATTCAGCATCAATTCAAAACTTAAATTCAACCATAAATCAGCCTAAAACTGGCCTTAATTCGGTAACAATTCAGTCGTCGATAGATGCCGATTGACTTCAATCGGACATAACCATTCAGATTAAATTCAACCATAAATCAGCCTAAAATTGACCTTAATTCAGCATCATTCGGCATTAAT